ACCAATGAGCAGTGATAACTAACACGTCTTTGGGGTCATCAGGTGGGAACCTTCTTTCACCAGTGTTTCGTCTAGTTGGTCCCACGACACCTCCAGGAGGCTAGACAGTGATCTCTGGTGTCCCAGAGACACTCCCCTAATGCCAGGTCTCACTGCTCCCCGCACCAACCCAACAACCTCCTTTTCCTTACTTACACATGGCGTTCTCAGTCCAAACAGCACTGCCACCTTCAACAAACCAGGCTCCATTTATGCGAGCTCCAGGTAGTGACCGTGCCGATACTACTTTTCCTAGCACATTTACCATACCCTATTTCACACGCTACATATCATAAGTTTAAGGAGATAGAAAAGATTAACTCACAGGATCAGCAAACACAGTCACCTTGCAGCATGATCTCAAACAAAAGGGATTCAAATAGGCCACTCCCACACCTAAATACCTTCCTCTTCCTGGATTTCCTCCTGAGAGGACTGATTGGTGGATCTCTTCACCTGATCTCAAAAAGTTATGTACCCTGCTTAGTAGTTCCCCCTGCTGGCCCCCAACTGATATTCTTCCTCATCCAAATCCACTGACTAGATCTAGCTGCTTCATCTGACATTTCCTTCACTGTCTTCCTCAAACTCTGTCCCCGCACTCCGAATCGACATGTTTCTACAGTAGCCCAGAACGGTCAAACCAAACACTGGCTCTAGATAGGGCCATTCATGGTTTTTAGGTTTCTTGTTTTCGTGTCCGTGGCTGCTAACATCGGAAAAACAAATTGTTTTAACATGAAACTGCTTTATTTAGTGTTTCTACCGTTTTAAATCACCAGGGGCTGTATTCGCAATCATTCTGAGAATACTCTCAAAGAGCTCCTAACGTAGCCTAAAAACTTTTAGTAAGGAGTCCTGGCTTAGGAGTTAGGGACAAAAACTTTTACCTTATTATGTAGGTGTGGTTGACCCTATTGCCAGGTTTTAACAGATGTGATTGGTTGTCACAGACATGCCTTTTTGTAAGCCTGCAAGGTGTGGACACCCAGTGGAAATGAAATGAACTGCTGACTGTGAAAGCATTGTCATTGTTAGCTGATGGAAGGTTGAGACAGACTCAAGTCGTCACTGCTGGACTGGAGCATTTTTCCAGTTTTCCAACTATCTTAGTATTGTGATAATTTTGTTTCTGGCGTTACAGCATCATCCCGTTATTGCGCTGGGTGTGAAATGTGTGCGTATCCCTAATGAGATCGACAACACATATTATTCCTGTACAATCTAATCCGTTGCATTTCATTGACTCACTGTCATCCAGCGTTTGGAGAGTATTTCTCCGACCTCTTTGTGTTTCCACCATTTTCTCCTCTGACTAAGAAACTCTTAAGCCTCTTAAAAGTCCTCCCTGTTCCTAACAGTTTTCACTTTAGGAGCTCTTTTAAGGGTTAAGATGCCCTGCGGATAACTTTTCTTTTTACAAAGTCCTTGCCTGAACTTTAAGGGGAAATTCTAAGAAAATGTCACAACAAATTTTCTTTGATTTTTGTCACTAGGAGCAACTCTTAGTGCTAGGAAGCTTTGTGAATACGGCCCTTGGTCTGCATGTATTGGAGAGGAAGAGACCTCTGTGAATAATCCAGTACAAACCTCCTGAACAATAAACACTGAAGGAATTCTAACTGGGAGAAGTTTCAGCTGGTTGCAATCTGCAATCCTCACCACTAGAGGCCACAAAATCCCTCTGAGTCTTCCACACTGTTCCTTTAATTTGCTGCGTGCACACACACACACACACACACACACCTGTTCCACAGCTGACAACGTGCTGATTTGAGCCCATTATGTGCTCTGTGTGGAAACTGGTCAGCTGTTTGCAAACAACATAAATTCCTTAACAAGAGAGGGAAATAGTTGGAATTCTTGAAGCTGTACAGGAGTGAAAGGGGAACTTATTTATTCACTTCTAAACAAACCTTGAGGAACTGCAACTGCAGAGAAATTACCCTCTGCACATGTGTGTGTGTGTGTGTGTGTGTGTGTGTGTGTGTGTGTGTGTGTGTGCGTGCGTGCGTGTGTGTGTGATGGAGAGAGGGATAAACAGCTGTGTTCACAAACAGCTGGACTCAGTCCACACTTATCTTAACCAGACCCTCTCCTGATAAGTATTACAGTTAGCAGCTGCAAGCCTTTGTATTTCTTGTCCAGGCTTTACCTCCTTGATCTAACACACCACACAACATGATGTAACCTTATCTTCTGAGCTCACAGATACCTGCTCTCTGTTCTGTATGTTCAAGGATGTGTGTGTACAGTATGTTTGTTTGTGAGCACAGTGTTTGGTATATGCTTGACTGTCAATTGTTATTTGCTGCTTATTTGTCTGTCACTCAAGTTTATTAAACAGCATGTATTCTTCGCTTGGAGTCTGAATTTTAATAAATAGGATTAAAGACACTACAAATAGTAGATATCTGTCCTTCGTTCATTCTTCTCTTTGTTCCGGGGAAGAAAAATAGCTGCTGGGCTTCAGTTAAGCTCCTGTTCCTTCCCGTCTCTTTGTAATGTGTACAGTTTTCCTTTGCTTAAACACTTCTTGTTGTTCAGTATTTTGCTTAAACACATTCATTTAGGGAAAATGCACCACACTGAAATACTGAAGCTCCTAAAAATAAATGCTGACACACTGAACGTTTTTAAACTAGGATGTTTAGAACAGGATATAAAGCATGACCCGCCTCAATGCCTGTGTCATTTTAGGTAATTCTGTGCTTTTTTTTTGCTGCTGCAATTATTCAGTTGACTTTGCACAAACCTGCTAACGCTCAGTAAGCCTGAAGCTTTCAGTGCTCTTGGGCAACTGGTTCATCCAGTCTTCCCTTTTACTGTGCATGTTGAAAATAAACCTAAAACAAAGGTAAAGGCTTGCACAACAGTGTCACCTTGCTGTGTCTGTTGACTTTATAAATTTCAGTAGGAATTTTGAGCCTGTAAAATGATGTCAAAACTCTAGATTAAAAATTTCTAGATTAAAAGCAGGGCAAATTTTTTTTACATATGTGTGTCCCCTTTATTAAGGGACAGACTTTGTACTTGCTTATTGACAGTTTTGAATCAAAAATGCAACTTATGGGAGAATTTTACCTGTGTGTGCATCTCCCTTCCTCAATTGTCTTTCAGACTTTTTTACATAAACTTCCATTTTAAAAAATGGTTTCAGGTTTCTGTTTCTGAGTGTTTGTTTCACAACAACAAAAACTCTTCTTTATTAATTCCTTTAAGGGTCATCGTATCTAACAATCTGACAATCTGACAATTCTAATAACCAAAACCATAATATTTTCTGGGATAGCTATTTTACTGTGAGAATCTCATGCTGCTGCAACCCTGTTTGAATCTGTAGTCACATGTCCACAAAAGCAGTCAGTGTGTGTGTAGTGCACTTTTCAGAAACGTGTTGTAAGTTTAAATATGCTGACATTTGCACACTAATACAAGTATTTAAATGACTTTTTTTGTCAGTTTTTGTGCAGGCACTGTAACTACCAAACCCCAAACGATCTGGGGGTCATAAAAGGAAAGGAATCTTTTTTTTATCATTATTCTAACATTGCTTTTCCACTGCAATTGAACTCCATTTGACCACAATTGGTATTAATCATTGCTACCTATTAACAGAGGTTCAGCAAAGTTCTTGCATGCTGTTTTAGAGGATACCTGGATAACTGAGTAATCCTGCTTGGTGCTACACCCCCACCTGGACTCTGGTTTCTGGAAGGCAGTTGTCTGACTGATGGACACTATATAGAATAGAAAAGCTGACATTCCTGTCACTTTCTCGTGAATGGTGGGGTATTTTGATTTTGGATTTTATTCATTTATTTATTTTCTTTGTTGATGTATGACCTGTGAACAAGTGAAGACATTTTGCAATAAACTCAGTAAAGTGGCATTTAGTGTTGGCATGTGTCTTTTTTGTATTATATTTTGGTCTAATTTTGTATCACATGTACATTGTCAGTTTGATCATTTTTAATTTTTCTCCCCAAGGTAGCTTTGCTGTAGTTAAGCTTTGCCATGCAGTTTTTATTTTATTTCATTTCATTTTATTTTATTCTATTTTATTCTATATCTCCCCAATGTAGCTTTGCTGCAGTTAAGCTTTTTCATGCAGTTTTTATTTTATTTTATTTTAATTTATTTCTCCCCAATGTAGCTTTGCTGTAGTTAAGCTTTGTCATGCAGTTTTTATTTTATTTTATTTTGTTTTATTTCTCCTCAAGGTAGCTTTGCTGTAGTTAAGCTTTGTCATACAGTTTTTATTTTATTTCATTTTATTTCTCCTCAAGGTAGCTTTGCTGTAGTTTAGCTTTGTCATGCAGTTTTTATTTTATTTTATTTCATTTTATTTCTCCTCAAGGTAGCTTTGCTGTAGTTAAGCTTTGTCATGCAGTTTTTATTTTATTTTATTTTGTTTTATTTCTCCCCAATTTAGCTTTGCTGTAGTTAAGCTTTGTCATGCAGTTTTTATTTTACTTTATTTTAATTTATTTTATTTCTCCCCAAGGTAGCTTCGCTATAGTTAAGCTTTGTCATGCAGTTTTTATTTTATTTTATTTTAATTTATTCAATTTATTTCTCCTCAAGGAAGTTTTGCTTCCCCAACATTGTACATATATATAAATCTACATATATGACAACAAATCAAACATTTTCATGCAGTTATTCTTTTATTTTATTTTACTTTATTGCACACAACCATAGGCTTCGAAATTATTCACAAAATCTTACTGGCCCAACATGTAATGTTTGTAATCATTACAGCATATATTTGTGTTATTTATCATTATTATTATTATTATTATTATTATTATTATTATTATTATTATTATTATTATTATTTTTGTTGTTGCATAAATTAGTTTAAGTCAAATGGTTTATTTATTTATTCTCCCTGAGTTTTATTTTGAAGTTCGGGTTTAAAACCTCACCGGAAGTGAGTCTGGTTGTTGTAGCAGGGCTCAGGCTGCTGGGGAGGAGGAAAGCCCTGGCTGTGATGCCGCTGGATGATGGCTGCTTTCGGGATCCTAAGTTACGAACACCGGCCATTAAAGCGGCCCCGACTCGGCCCTCCGGACGTTTATCCTCAAGATCCAAAGCAGAAAGAGGTCAGGTTTCATAATGTGCAGTGTGAAAGTCCGGGAATGATGTTTTGTGGGGGGAAAATGTCAGCCAAGAAGCTGCTCAAGCTAACACTTGCTAGCCTGTTTAGCAAGCCCTCTAGACGATTTGGGCCTAGCAATAACAATGAACAGCTCCTAGTTGTCAGTTTGTTAGCTAGCTCGCCTGCTTACTTGGAAAACAACCGGTCCGTTGAGAGTTTGCTGACATAGCTTACCGGCTGCCGTATGTAATTCAGTGGGATATAAACTGCAGGCAGTACTGGGCTCTGAGATGGGGAACAATATGCGTTTGCTTTTTGGATTGTGCGCGACTGGTAATTGTTTGTTAGCTTGATGTTTTGATGTAACGAGTTAGCTAAACCTACACAGCTAACCTCCATGACCTGCGAGCTGAACATTAATGCATGCTAAATTATCTGTGCTCGGTTTTAAGACTGGAGTTTGGCCTAGCTGGGTAGAGCTGCTGGCTGCTGATCTATTATTAACCTGAGATAATCTGTTGATGTAGATGGAAAACTGACTGCCTTACCTCTGAGGTATTCAGCCAACGTTGCCTCAAATATCTCAAATACCTACTAAGTAACATATAATTTTATTATGCTAATTTTTCCAGTGTCAGCACACCCATTTAATCTCACATGCTAATTTTCTCTAGCTACCTCTAGCTGAATGGGATCAGAAATGGTGACACTTTTGCATGAAATGTTCTTCGTTTCAGGATGAGTTGACTGCCCTAAATGTGAAACAAGGATTCAACAACCAGCCAGCAGTGTCTGGTGATGAACATGGCAGTGCCAAAAATGTCAACTTCAACCCTTCAAAGGTAATGACCCCTGCACTTTAGCTCATCCCTGCATGCCTCTGTGTGAATGATTTTTCCATGATACATGTTCCCCTCTATGCTTCCTCACAGATCAGTTCAAACTTCAGCAGCATCATCGCAGAGAAGCTGCGCTACAACACGTTTCCAGACACAGGGAAACGCAAGCCGCAGGTCAACCAGAAGGATAACTTCTGGCTCGTCACAGCAAGGTCACAGAGCTCCATCAATAACTGGTTCACGGATTTAGCGGGGACTAAACCTCTGACACAGCTGGCTAAAAAGGTAAGAGCATGGGCTGAGTCTAGAAAAGACATATTTATTGAATGACGTTTTCTTTACGTTGGTTTAACTGGCAGTGTAGTTGCTGGGGAAGTCGTCTACTGGCCTCGTCCTCTGTGCTGTGCTGCGGGTGGCTGGTTAATCAATGTAATTCTCTGCACATGAGTCTCATTTGCATGTTGTTTGTATCTTCTCTTTTTCTATTGTTTTCATGCTTTCTTCTTCTGATTTCCACAATTTACATTTGTAAAGGACTGGATTTGACTATTTAGGCTGTCACCAAAACATTTATCACTCATGTGCGCAAGAAATAAAATGAATTCCCCCTTGAATTTAAAGCACCTTACTTTGTTAAAGTACTAAAGTAAAAAAAAAAAAAGTATTATATATTAATAGAGCTATACGATTAATTGCATTTCGGTTGCGCTAGTCTTTCAACATGCTCAACCATTTTTTCGCCTGGACCTATCAATGTTGATATGATGCACATTTTCTACTGTATTGTATGACAAAAACATGCTAATATGTTAGCATGTTACCATTCTTAACTGTTGCTACATTAACTATACACTGATCAGCCAGAAAACACTGATTTGATTGAGCCACATTGATCATCTCAGTGTTCTGCTGGGAATCATCAGTTGCCACTTGCCACACACCACCCACCCTAAACACCATTGCAGACAAGATACACCCCCTCAAGGCAACGGCACTCCGCACTGGCAGGACAATGCATCATGCTGTACTTCAAAAACTGCTCAGGAATGACGCGAGGAGTGTGATAAAGAGTCCAAAGCACCGACCAGGCCTCCAAATTCCTCGGATCACAATCCAGCATCTGTGGGACGTGCCGATACCTCAGCGGTCCTGTGTCCATGCCTCCATGGATCAAGCCGAGTCCGATCCAAGGGCAACCCACAGTGGATTGGACTTGGCTCTGACCTGTGGAGGCATGGCACAAGGCCTCTGAGGGTGTCCTGTGGCGTCTGGCAACAGGGGGGTGGAGATGGAGCCTTTGAGTCCTGTGGGTTGTGAGGTGTGGCACCAGCTTGACCCATGCATGTTAAATTGCATTGGGATCTGGGGGATTCGGGGGTTGATGCCTTGAGCTCTTTGTCATGTTCCTCTGGCCATTCTGAGCAGTTTTTGTGGTGTAACGTGGCACATTGTCCAGCTGAGGGGGGTCTGGGTGGCGCGTGACAAGTGGCATCCAAATGAATGCTGGGACCCAAGGTTTCCAGCAGAACGTTGCATTGTAACAAGATGATCAATGTTATTTACTTTGCCTGGCAGTGGTTTTAATGTCGTGGCTAATCAGTGTAAAATGCTACCATGCTATTGTGCTGATGCTACCTGGCTAAGCTACGTACAGTTGAGCCTGACAAAGTGTAGCGTAGACTGAAAAAAGTTTGTCAATGTCCGACCATAGTCACTCGCAATAACCAGAAAAAATGAGTTAACTTTTCAACATGTAATGACCATTACAGCCTCATAGAGCTGCTAGTGCTGCTGTATACTCATATTTTTGCGACGTCAGCCCACAAATTCAGCTTCCTTTATTGTTTGGCAAGGCTCAATAGATGTTCACTGCCAGGACAGCCTGGGCAGAAGTAGCCAACAGATAAGGCGTGGAGCATCCTGATGTGTATATCACCGCTCGGAGAAATTTACATGTCCGTTCCGGAAAAAGCCAAGAAGAGAACTAACGGCCGCGGCGATAAAAAAACAGTCCCCAAACTGTGCCGAACTCTCCTGAACGATTCAATTCAACATCACAAAACAAGAACAATTGAGAAAAGGTAAGCAATGCTGTGTTTTTTATTTCCTCATTAAAACCACCAAATTGATGCTTCTGTTTAAAACAAGTTCATTGTTTGTCTTGTTTGGGCGTATTGACCCAAAACACAATGAATGTCATTGTTTGTTAGTGGAAACAGGTTTTACTGCCGGGTGCTGTTTTTAAAACTTGGAGATCTATTATTTATAGATTGGCTGCTGGTGGATTTTTTTGGTCTTTCACAACAATAAATTTCTCTGTAAGTGCTCTTACAAGTGGCAGCAAATTGGTCTTGAATATTGAATACATCGGGTTAAATTAAAGGTCAGCTTTCTATTCATAAATGTGTGAAAGCCTTTATCATTTTCAATTGCTTTGTAGTTTATGTATTTTCTTTTATTCTTGCTGTATACACACAACATTGTTTTCTCACTGCTTTCTTTTTGTGGTTATAATGACTTTGAAGGATTACTTTTTCAGACCAGTTCCAGGTTTCTGCTCAACTACTTCACTCAGACCACAGAAGACAAAACATCAGGAAAAAGCCAGCAGATGGATTTAATTGAAATTGCGGACTTCATTTATGCTAAACCTCTGCATTCATTTTCAGCACAGAACAGGCAGTGTTGGGAAGGAAATATCATCCAGCTGGAACATTTATTTTATTGCAACAGACTGAAGCCTGTATTCACATAATTCAGACGCAACATGTACACCCAGTGTGTATGGTTTATATTTACTTAGCATTTCAGCGTTACTCTTGTGATGCTAAAACATTTTAATAAATTCCTTTGACCTTTTTTTCCTGCCTGAGTTCTTTTTTCTTGCCATTTGTGTTGTTTTTTCGGACGTATTCTTGATTTGTTTGCGTGGTTTCATTCAGCGTTACTGATGCACATGAATTGTTTTTGTCGCAGGTTCCAATCTTTAGCAAAAAGGAGGAGGTTTTTGGATACTTGGCGAAGTACTCAGTCCCCGTGATGCGTTCAGCATGGATGATCAAGATGACCTGTGCGTATCACGCAGCCATCACAGAAACTAAAGTCAAGAAGAGGCATGTGATTGATCCTTGTATAGGTAAGCAAGTGATATATGTGTATCTGGTTGTTTAAAATCAATATTTTTTCTTCTATGGGATGATAAGCAGTGTCTTTGAGTAGAATATGTTCTGCCATTTATTCAGTTTTTGCCTCTTTAAGATGTACGTTTGTGTTTGTGTGTGCAGAATGGACCCAGATTATCACTAAGTACCTGTGGGAGCAGCTTCAGAAGGTGGCCGAGTTTTACAGACAGTATCCCAGTCAAGGCTGCAGCTCGCCTCTACCGGCCACTCCCGCTGACGTGGAGACGGCCATGAAGCAGTGGGAATACAACGAGAAACTAGCCATGTTCATGTTTCAGGTCGGTTCACTCTATAAAGTCTTCAGTTGATCATGTGCCTTGGCAACATTTAGCTATCAAGGAAATGGCTTTTTCCTCAACTCGTTCATTCAGGCTTCCATTTTGCTGGAATGGTGTAGAGAGTACACAACGGCAGAGAAGGTTTATTAAACAGGCTTTTCGAAACATTTTTAATAAACATGCTGAGATCAGTTTTAACCAAAAGCACAGCAAGTATCACAAGAAAATTTGAGACTTGTGGCACTTCTACTGTAGAATCTCTTACACACCAATTCTGATGAACAAAGTAATATAATTATTTTTCCTTTTGAGTTCTAAATAAAATAATTACAGTATATTTAAATAGAGTGACTCAAAAAAGGACTTTTTCTGATTAAGTTCCCCACCACTCTCTCTGTATACATTTTATCTTCCTGATTCCTCGAAGTGAAGAAGGAGGTCGCTGCATATTTCAGTCAGTGAGTTCATGACCTTCTCCTGAACTGGAACCACGACATGGAATACTGCATCGCCCCGCCAGCCGCACATATGACCAATCAGATCCGCAATCCAACCCGACTCGACCCAACCTGACCTCACCCACTGACACAAGAACTGCGGCTCAAACTGAAACCGCAGATCCTATAATAACCATGTGCTGTTTGAATAAATCGGTCAGGCAGAACATTTAAAGTGATCATTTTGGGACATTTNAGCTTTGTCATGCAGTTTTTATTTTATTTTATTTTGTTTTATTTCTCCCCAATTTAGCTTTGCTGTAGTTAAGCTTTGTCATGCAGTTTTTATTTTACTTTATTTTAATTTATTTTATTTCTCCCCAAGGTAGCTTCGCTATAGTTAAGCTTTGTCATGCAGTTTTTATTTTATTTTATTTTAATTTATTCAATTTATTTCTCCTCAAGGAAGTTTTGCTTCCCCAACATTGTACATATATATAAATCTACATATATGACAACAAATCAAACATTTTCATGCAGTTATTCTTTTATTTTATTTTACTTTATTGCACACAACCATAGGCTTCGAAATTATTCACAAAATCTTACTGGCCCAACATGTAATGTTTGTAATCATTACAGCATATATTTGTGTTATTTATCATTATTATTATTATTATTATTATTATTATTATTATTATTATTATTATTTTTGTTGTTGCATAAATTAGTTTAAGTCAAATGGTTTATTTATTTATTCTCCCTGAGTTTTATTTTGAAGTTCGGGTTTAAAACCTCACCGGAAGTGAGTCTGGTTGTTGTAGCAGGGCTCAGGCTGCTGGGGAGGAGGAAAGCCCTGGCTGTGATGCCGCTGGATGATGGCTGCTTTCGGGATCCTAAGTTACGAACACCGGCCATTAAAGCGGCCCCGACTCGGCCCTCCGGACGTTTATCCTCAAGATCCAAAGCAGAAAGAGGTCAGGTTTCATAATGTGCAGTGTGAAAGTCCGGGAATGATGTTTTGTGGGGGGAAAATGTCAGCCAAGAAGCTGCTCAAGCTAACACTTGCTAGCCTGTTTAGCAAGCCCTCTAGACGATTTGGGCCTAGCAATAACAATGAACAGCTCCTAGTTGTCAGTTTGTTAGCTAGCTCGCCTGCTTACTTGGAAAACAACCGGTCCGTTGAGAGTTTGCTGACATAGCTTACCGGCTGCCGTATGTAATTCAGTGGGATATAAACTGCAGGCAGTACTGGGCTCTGAGATGGGGAACAATATGCGTTTGCTTTTTGGATTGTGCGCGACTGGTAATTGTTTGTTAGCTTGATGTTTTGATGTAACGAGTTAGCTAAACCTACACAGCTAACCTCCATGACCTGCGAGCTGAACATTAATGCATGCTAAATTATCTGTGCTCGGTTTTAAGACTGGAGTTTGGCCTAGCTGGGTAGAGCTGCTGGCTGCTGATCTATTATTAACCTGAGATAATCTGTTGATGTAGATGGAAAACTGACTGCCTTACCTCTGAGGTATTCAGCCAACGTTGCCTCAAATATCTCAAATACCTACTAAGTAACATATAATTTTATTATGCTAATTTTTCCAGTGTCAGCACACCCATTTAATCTCACATGCTAATTTTCTCTAGCTACCTCTAGCTGAATGGGATCAGAAATGGTGACACTTTTGCATGAAATGTTCTTCGTTTCAGGATGAGTTGACTGCCCTAAATGTGAAACAAGGATTCAACAACCAGCCAGCAGTGTCTGGTGATGAACATGGCAGTGCCAAAAATGTCAACTTCAACCCTTCAAAGGTAATGACCCCTGCACTTTAGCTCATCCCTGCATGCCTCTGTGTGAATGATTTTTCCATGATACATGTTCCCCTCTATGCTTCCTCACAGATCAGTTCAAACTTCAGCAGCATCATCGCAGAGAAGCTGCGCTACAACACGTTTCCAGACACAGGGAAACGCAAGCCGCAGGTCAACCAGAAGGATAACTTCTGGCTCGTCACAGCAAGGTCACAGAGCTCCATCAATAACTGGTTCACGGATTTAGCGGGGACTAAACCTCTGACACAGCTGGCTAAAAAGGTAAGAGCATGGGCTGAGTCTAGAAAAGACATATTTATTGAATGACGTTTTCTTTACGTTGGTTTAACTGGCAGTGTAGTTGCTGGGGAAGTCGTCTACTGGCCTCGTCCTCTGTGCTGTGCTGCGGGTGGCTGGTTAATCAATGTAATTCTCTGCACATGAGTCTCATTTGCATGTTGTTTGTATCTTCTCTTTTTCTATTGTTTTCATGCTTTCTTCTTCTGATTTCCACAATTTACATTTGTAAAGGACTGGATTTGACTATTTAGGCTGTCACCAAAACATTTATCACTCATGTGCGCAAGAAATAAAATGAATTCCCCCTTGAATTTAAAGCACCTTACTTTGTTAAAGTACTAAAGTAAAAAAAAAAAAAGTATTATATATTAATAGAGCTATACGATTAATTGCATTTCGGTTGCGCTAGTCTTTCAACATGCTCAACCATTTTTTCGCCTGGACCTATCAATGTTGATATGATGCACATTTTCTACTGTATTGTATGACAAAAACATGCTAATATGTTAGCATGTTACCATTCTTAACTGTTGCTACATTAACTATACACTGATCAGCCAGAAAACACTGATTTGATTGAGCCACATTGATCATCTCAGTGTTCTGCTGGGAATCATCAGTTGCCACTTGCCACACACCACCCACCCTAAACACCATTGCAGACAAGATACACCCCCTCAAGGCAACGGCACTCCGCACTGGCAGGACAATGCATCATGCTGTACTTCAAAAACTGCTCAGGAATGACGCGAGGAGTGTGATAAAGAGTCCAAAGCACCGACCAGGCCTCCAAATTCCTCGGATCACAATCCAGCATCTGTGGGACGTGCCGATACCTCAGCGGTCCTGTGTCCATGCCTCCATGGATCAAGCCGAGTCCGATCCAAGGGCAACCCACAGTGGATTGGACTTGGCTCTGACCTGTGGAGGCATGGCACAAGGCCTCTGAGGGTGTCCTGTGGCGTCTGGCAACAGGGGGGTGGAGATGGAGCCTTTGAGTCCTGTGGGTTGTGAGGTGTGGCACCAGCTTGACCCATGCATGTTAAATTGCATTGGGATCTGGGGGATTCGGGGGTTGATGCCTTGAGCTCTTTGTCATGTTCCTCTGGCCATTCTGAGCAGTTTTTGTGGTGTAACGTGGCACATTGTCCAGCTGAGGGGGGTCTGGGTGGCGCGTGACAAGTGGCATCCAAATGAATGCTGGGACCCAAGGTTTCCAGCAGAACGTTGCATTGTAACAAGATGATCAATGTTATTTACTTTGCCTGGCAGTGGTTTTAATGTCGTGGCTAATCAGTGTAAAATGCTACCATGCTATTGTGCTGATGCTACCTGGCTAAGCTACGTACAGTTGAGCCTGACAAAGTGTAGCGTAGACTGAAAAAAGTTTGTCAATGTCCGACCATAGTCACTCGCAATAACCAGAAAAAATGAGTTAACTTTTCAACATGTAATGACCATTACAGCCTCATAGAGCTGCTAGTGCTGCTGTATACTCATATTTTTGCGACGTCAGCCCACAAATTCAGCTTCCTTTATTGTTTGGCAAGGCTCAATAGATGTTCACTGCCAGGACAGCCTGGGCAGAAGTAGCCAACAGATAAGGCGTGGAGCATCCTGATGTGTATATCACCGCTCGGAGAAATTTACATGTCCGTTCCGGAAAAAGCCAAGAAGAGAACTAACGGCCGCGGCGATAAAAAAACAGTCCCCAAACTGTGCCGAACTCTCCTGAACGATTCAATTCAACATCACAAAACAAGAACAATTGAGAAAAGGTAAGCAATGCTGTGTTTTTTATTTCCTCATTAAAACCACCAAATTGATGCTTCTGTTTAAAACAAGTTCATTGTTTGTCTTGTTTGGGCGTATTGACCCAAAACACAATGAATGTCATTGTTTGTTAGTGGAAACAGGTTTTACTGCCGGGTGCTGTTTTTAAAACTTGGAGATCTATTATTTATAGATTGGCTGCTGGTGGATTTTTTTGGTCTTTCACAACAATAAATTTCTCTGTAAGTGCTCTTACAAGTGGCAGCAAATTGGTCTTGAATATTGAATACATCGGGTTAAATTAAAGGTCAGCTTTCTATTCATAAATGTGTGAAAGCCTTTATCATTTTCAATTGCTTTGTAGTTTATGTATTTTCTTTTATTCTTGCTGTATACACACAACATTGTTTTCTCACTGCTTTCTTTTTGTGGTTATAATGACTTTGAAGGATTACTTTTTCAGACCAGTTCCAGGTTTCTGCTCAACTACTTCACTCAGACCACAGAAGACAAAACATCAGGAAAAAGCCAGCAGATGGATTTAATTGAAATTGCGGACTTCATTTATGCTAAACCTCTGCATTCATTTTCAGCACAGAACAGGCAGTGTTGGGAAGGAAATATCATCCAGCTGGAACATTTATTTTATTGCAACAGACTGAAGCCTGTATTCACATAATTCAGACGCAACATGTACACCCAGTG